TTGAGCTCAGCAGATCAGGTTTGAAGGCTGGCTTTATGATTTCTTAGATATGTTACTGTTCGAAAGTCAGTTAATTATTCCAAGCCTCAGCTTCTTGTGTGAGATGGGCTACTAACAGTTACCACAAAAAATTACTGTATGTGAAGGGTTTAGCATCGTTCATGACGCTTGGTAAGAGCTCAGTTAATAAGAGCAATTTACTGTGAATTACAAATTCAGAATTGGCCCATCTAGGCACAGTAAGTAGCTGGAGTTTACCTTTGTATTACACAGGGAAGGAATCATGTTAGAAAAGGGTATAAATGGGCTCAGCATGGTGGCTCATGCCTGTAATCCCAGCACTTTGGGAGGCCAAGGCAGGTGATCGCTTGAGGCCAGAAGTTTGAGACCAGCCTGACCAACATGATGGAACCCCATCTCTACTAAAAAACAAAAATTAGTCTGGTCTGGTGGCATGTGCCTGTAGTCCCAGCTACTTGGGAGGCTGAGACATGAGAATCACTTGAGCCTGGGAGGCAGATGTTGCAGTGGGCTGAGACAGTGCCACGGCACTCCAGAGTGGGTGACAGAGTGAGACTCTTGTCTCCAAAAAAAAAAAAAGAGTACAAATGGCAATCTAAGAAAAAATTCAATCTACCTAAAAGATAAGCTATTGTTACATAGATATAACTAACTCCATGTGTCGAATTTACAGATAAATAATGATTGTGATGAAAACAAAAGTCAACATCGCTTTGATTTGCAACTTATTCTATTTGTGACAAAGACTTCTACCTAATCCATTATTTGTGAAGCTATTTCATTATTAGAAATAGAGGCGAAAAATATTGTATTTTCTTGGCACGATCCAAGTTTGGAGGGGTTGAAAGTGAATTTAATTTGAGTCATTAGGTTCTTTGGTATGGACAACTATGATTCAATTTATTAGAAGGATATTGGTGAGCACAACACACCAAATGAATGGAAGTCTGGAGAAGCAGTTCCAGAAGTAGGTCAGGAGCCAGGAAGGAGACTTTGTTAGGGTCAGTTTCTTACCTTCTTTCGTCAGTGTTGAAAGTCCAGTTGACCAGGCTTAGAACTTAGAAGGCCTTCCCTCCAGATCCTTTCCACAGCAAGGATCTGCCCAGAGGCTATTTCTGGAACCCCTTTGCCTTCATTGAGGAAGAACTGATTATCTGAATTTTCTGACCTACTATGACACTCTACAATGGGGGAAAAATAAATCCTTCAAAGAAAATGAAAGATATTGATAGGAAGCAGAGATAGAGGTTGGGTGACCAATATTAACGAAAGTCCCTACAGAGCTGGACAGACTTGTTTCCACCTCTGACGCTGCCACTTGCTATACAAATTACTCCACTTTCCCAAGTCTATTGTAAAATGAGGACAACAGTAAAAGCAACTCCACAGGATTGCTATGAAATATAAATATAGCAACGTTTATAAAGTTCCCAGCACAATACCTGTCACATAATAAGTACAGGTATTGATCGACTTATGACCTACGCAACTTACGACCATTCGACTTTACGACCACAATCGCTAGCCACGACTGCTCCGCTGTAGATTTTTGGAAACACTACAGCATTTTGATGTGTATCAAGAATATCGCTACCGCCTGGGAGGCTGTGATGACAAAGTGCATGAATGGCATCTGGAAAAATTGTGTTAAGCGCTATGTTAATGATTTTGACGGATTTGACAGTGAACATGAACTTGAAATGATTCGGGAAAAAATAGTAAAACTCGCTAACGATCTTTCTTTGGAGTGTGAAATGGAAAATGTCGAAGAGTTGCTAGACAAAGAATCTGGAGAACTTACAAATGAAGAGCTAATCGAACTGGAAGAAAGAGTGGCGGAAGAAGAAAGAAGAGAAGCAGAGAAAGAAGAGGAGGAGCCAGAAAGAAAGTTCACCACTAAGGGATTATCAGACGGTTTATCTTTACTGAATAAACTTCTTATACATTTCGAAGCAATGCGCCCAAACATCGAACAATTTGCAAGGATTGAACAGATGGCACACGATGTGTTTCGTCCGTTATCGTGAAATTTATGAAGAAAAAAAGAAACATACAATTCAGACAAAGCTCACCATGTTTATGAAAAAACCAACTCCGGTAACCCCAACTGCTGCCTCAGATGACGACATCAACGATCCGCAGCCAAGCACCAGCGGCCAATAAAATGTTTTGTACATGTTTATATATTTTGATATGTTTTGCAATTGGGAAAATGTTTCCTATGGTATTTTTTACACCTGTATTTTGTATTTTTGTATGCACCTGTATTTTGTAATTTTGTATGTTTTGCAAATATTAAACCAGTTGTACTGGTAATGCAGTGTTTTACTTAAACCTAACGAATGTAAAAATAAGAAACAAAATGGTGTAAAGATGATAGAAATGGCATAAAATGAACAAAGAAAATTGATATATAACAATAATGAAAGAAAATTATGATAAAATATGACTTGAAGATTTTTATAACATCATTTCACAGTACTTGTACATATAGTCTACTCAACTTACGACCAAATCATGTTACGATCGGTCTGTTGGAGCCAATTGTGGTTGTAAGTCGAGCACTAGCTGTATATCTATTAAGTTTCAGTAAATCAAACTTTCCTTTCTTATGTCAGTGATACCTGTGTTAGCCTTTTCGATATTAGTTCCACGTATATTTACTTATATATTTCTTACATTCATGTGTGTTAGTATTTTATTATTTAATTATGTACTTCCAGAGAAAAAAGATCATGCCTCTTTTTAACCAGTGCCATTTGCTTTTGATGATATCAGTGACAATAGCAATAGTAACAGGGAGCCATTGTCCTAGTAATCAGTTTTAAGTACTCTTTGAGACTTTTAAAATCTCTACATAATATAATATCTATACACAGTGCTTATAGTTATGCTTGAGATACAGGTATCCATTTTCTTTTTCATCGTCATGCTGAGGGACCCTGATGACACATAGACCGTATTGCCCTTACAAGGCTCTTGATGACAGAATGGTTGGCACAGCCTTACTTTCCTAAATAGTTTGCTGATTTACTTGTTCCATTTTTAGACTCTAGCAGATCGGCATTGGTGACACACGCTAATTATTTGGTTTGACTCGTGGCTGGCATGAGACTTCCATCTGCATCAATCAGTAAGACATGATCAGTGTGAGGTTAATACACCCAATCGACAACCAATTTGTTGTAATGAGAAGCCTTGTTTATTTTTCTGTGTTCCCCAGAGATAATCATGTGTTGGAAGCATAGCTGCCAGAAGTGTAGCATAAACTTGGTGAGACTGCATCTAACTGCCTTCAAGTGGAAGCTGCATTGTCTACTTATTAATAGCTTATCAACTCTCAAATTGCATTGACCCACCCAATTACACATTTAAGACCTTCTGCATCTCTCTTAGTGTTTCCAGCTCTCATTTCTATGTGGAAACAGTCTTGGAAGGCAGCTGAAGACTGTGCTTTCATAGTTTGTCTTTCTTTGTGCCCTAGTACAATATTTTGAGACATTCCATCAAATGCCCCTCTTCTTTCTAAACCATCATCATGTGACGGTCACAGCTTCATTAAGACGTGTTAGTTACGCTTCCTGATTTAATTCGGAGCGAATTAAATCATACTCAATAAACTCACCAAGAGTTTTGTTGGTTGCTTGTGTAATGCTTGGCTAAGATTAGAAAGGCAATGGCCTCCAATCATGGTAGTAGCTAATTCTTTGTTTAATACTTTAGGTCAAAGTGAGTGCACATGTCACCATTTTGTGGTCTACCACAGCAAACACAGAAGAGTACTTTCTGCCCCCTGGTGCTCATTGTCTGCTACTGCAGCTGATGAGTCATCTGAGAGATGTTCCAGACAGAAGTAGAAGGATTTGTGTCTTCTGCTTACAGCACATGAGCAAAGCCACAACTTTTGAGTGCTTCACATATCAGATAGCTCCTAAATATGCAAGTGTCAGGAAAATGAATGAAGAGGATCTCTCAATTCTGTAACTGGCAGTACCACTGGGGAGAATGGCAGAGGCTCTGGGCTCTGGCTCTTGCCTCATTCGCCTCTGACCTGGGAGCCCTCTGAGGTGCTGGCTGGGCCACCCTGGCCATATCTAAGTCTCTTGATTAGACTAGGTTATTCCCTGACTCAACACACTGACATCTGCTTCTCTCTCTGCCTAAAAACTTTCTTACCCCCTTCAGCCACTAAATCCTATCTCTCCTTCAGAATTTAGCTGAAAGGTCACCTAAACAGGAAAGTCTCAATCAGGACTACCTTAAATCTTCTCATACAGCCTGATTCCACTCCTTCAAGACAGCCATTATGATTGTAATTGAATAATTAAACTGTTCAATGAATATGCAATCTGCTAAAACGTAAGTCCCTCTAGGGTCTTATTTACATTTGTATCTCCCGTAGGTGTACAACACATAATTTTTAAATGAATGAATGAATTCTGAAGTGAAAACACAACATTCTAAAATTTGACAAACTTTTTGTTTGCAGATAAACCAGAGCCAGGCTTATTCTGGAGTGTAATTTCAAAGATAACCAGAGGAAGAAGAGAGGAGGAGACAGGGAAGGGATGGGACTGAATTGGGTCAACATTCTCTTCATCCTGCCTCACCAAGGAAGAGTTGTATGCTAATGTAATTCAATGCCAAAACAAGCTTGCAGAAACTTTTCTCTTTCCTCAAAGTTCTCTAAGTGTAGAAAGAGTAAGCATGCTTTTCAAATCCTACTATTTTTTATCCTTTGCCTATAATATGGATCCACCCTCCAAGACTCTGAAAGTTTTTATTGTAATATCCGTGTGTGGAACAGCAGCTTAGTTACTGAAGCAATGTCCATTGCTTTGTAGGGCCACGAACAATGCTTTTCATTACTGAGCATAACGTACTCTGCAGTTATTTTCTCTGTAGCCTTATAATGGAATAATTCTCTAATAACTTCTCTGTAACTTTATATTGGTATAATTGTAGTTTTCCTTCTACAGATGGAGGCAACAAGCACAGACAGATATGGAACCTTTGCCCACTGTGACATAGCAGGCAAGCCTGGGTCAGCTCCAGAGTGGCAATAGAGGGAAATTCCCAGGACTCCAGGCCTCTTGGAAGTTTCCAAGGCCTTCAACTGATCACAGATCCTGGTTTTTCTCCCATTGGCTAAAAAGATAATAAATAAAAGTTACAGCTTGACTACTGTCTGAAAAAAATCTTGTAATGGTTAATAGAGAAAAGGTGAGAAAGTCCAGATGTTTGCCTTTTCCCCTGCTTAGTGTGAGTTAAATGCTAACTTGACTCTAGGTCTAAAGGTAGATCAGAAAGTGTTTTCTATTTATAAGTTGATTCATATCAGAAAAAATGCAGGACACAGACAATGCCCAATAGTTACACTGGGACATGGGAAAGGAGAGGAAGGGGAGTAACGCTTGTAGGGTTGATACTGTTATTTCATCATCTCTCTGAAATATAGCACAAGGGAGGGAAAACCGAAACAGTAAAACTATGTACAGATTCCAGTTCGTTTTTAACATTACAATAGTTTCTCAGTCATTTAACTTTCAATAAATATTTATTGAAAACTGGCGCAGTGGCTCAAGCCTGTAATCCCAGCACTTTGGGAGGCCGAGGTGGGTGGATCACGAGGTCAAGAGATCGAGACCATCCTGGTCAACATGGCGAAACCCTGTCTCTACTAAAACTACAAAAAATTAGCTGGGCATGGTGGCACGTGCCTGTAGTCCCAGCTACTCAGGAGGCTGAGACAGGAGAATTGCCTGAACCCAGGAAGCGGAGGCTGCGGTGAGCCGAGCCGAGATTGCACCATTGCACTCCAGCCTGGGTAACAAGAGCAAAACTACGTCTCAAAAAAAAAAAAAAAGAAAGAAAACTGGCAACATATTAAGCTTTACAAACCCAACAAAGAATAAAATGAAGCCCTTGGTCTTTTGGACTTTACCTTTCATGGGCAAGGGACAGACAGAGAACAGAGGGAAATAATGTTCAAGTAAATAAGCTAGATAATTTCAAACACTAATAAGCATTACAATAATGATAAACCAGGGTGATGTGATTGAGAGTGGCTGGAAGTGGGGGTTTGTTTCAGACCTGTGCTGTCCAGTACAGTAGCCACTAGCCACATGTGCCTCCTCAGCATTTGAAATGTGGCCAGTCCACGTTGAGATGTGCTGTAACTCAATTTCAAAAACTTCGTATGAGAAAAAGACTATAAAATGATCTCATTAACATTTTTATGCTAATTGTTGCAATGAAAATATCGTAGATATACTGGATTAAATAAAAATCTCATTGAGATGGACTTAACCCTTTTTATGTGTTTTCACCGTGGCTACCTGAGTATCTAGAATTGCACTTGCACTTGTTCTTCCCCTTTTTGTACTGGGCAGCACTAGGGATGGTGAGTGCTACCAGGGAGGGCCACCCAAACACTTGAGAAGATGATAACACACTTAGGAGGAACTGGGCATCCAAAGGTGTCAGGGCAGATTAGTGCAGGCAAGGAGAATAGCAACTGAAAGAGGTGGGAACCAGTGTGGTGAGCTGGAAAAGAAAGACAGAAGCCAGTGTGCCTGGAGAGAAGGCCAGGAGAGCGGGGGGTCAGAGATAAGGTAAACCCCCAAGATCAAGGCTTGCTCATTCAGGGCTTTGTAAATGAGAGTAAAGGAGATTAAGGCCAGGCACAGTGGCTTGCACCTGTAATGCCAGCACTTTGGGAGACTGAGGTGGGAGCAACACTTCAGGCCAGGAATTCAAAACCAGCCTGTCCGAAATGGCAAAACCCCGTCTCTACTAAAAATAAAAAAATGAGCCAGGTGTGATGGCACACTGCACGCCTCTAATCCCAGCTACTCGGGAGGCTGTAGCAGGAGAATCACCTGAACTGGGGAGGTGGAGCTTGCAGTGAGTGGAGATTGCACCACTGCCCTCCAGCCTGGGCAACAGAGCAAGACTCTGTCTCAAAAAAAAAAAAAAAAAGGTTAAATACAGGCTTTCTAGAAAATATTGAATATTAGAGCAGATTTGCTCCTGTGTAATTTACCAGGAACTGTTCCAAAATATTAATATTCAGCATGAAACCCTGGTTTAAAAATGCAAAGAAAGTCATTCAGCTTAGAATATCTCCATGCTAATGAAGGCTTAGGCTGGAATATGCATTTACGAAACTCATTTATTTTCATATAATCATTATGATGTTTCTGTATAGCTGTTTCCTTTGTAAGGAGGAGGAACATAGGTGGATAGAGAATGTACTCGGATTAGTTAAATAAGAATCTCGGGTTCATCTTCCTCTACTTTACTCACTGCAAGCAAGCTCAAACTTTGAGGCTGTGTGTAACAGGGGAAGGCAGGCAAACCTGAGTCCACCCAGAAAGTACAGGGTGCAGGTTGCAAGATAAATATTCAAGTTTTCCCTTCTTTACACATAAGTGTGTCCACCATATTTTCTACTGGGCTACTCACAGGAAAAAGAAAATAAATAGAATATGTTCTTCTTTCTTTCCCTGGGGGAGTGGTTAAAAAAAAAAAAAGTAGTGAATCATTTAATGACCAAATATTTCTGATGTATTTTGGAGTTTATATAATGAATGTATTTGTCATAAAAGCAAAATTTTGAGTTTCACAAGTAAAGTAGAAACACTTTGTTCCCAAATGTCAAAGTGAAACTGACATCCATTATTATCATGCAGCTCTCATACACACAAAGGCAAAGTAAAATGTGTCCTCACAAGGGATATGTGATTACTAAATATAAAGGGAATGGCCCAAATATTTGAGATTATTCAGGAACACTGTCAAGACTGGGGCCTAGTCAGAATATATCCAACCCTGTAAGTCACTGGGTCCTTGATCATTAGAAGCAGAGCAGAGCTCTTGCTACACCCAGATCATTAGAAACTCATGTGTGGGTAGAGCTATGGGTTACAAGGCACAGGTGGGGCAAGGTGAGTCAGCCAGGTGTGGTTCTTTTCTTTAAGAGTCTTTATTTGACGAGGCATGGTGGCTCATGCCTGTAATCCCAGCATTTTGGGAGGCCGAGGCAGGTGGATCACCTGAGGTAAAGAATTTGAGACCAGCTTGGCCATGGCAAAACCCCATCTCTACAAAAATACAAAAAATTAGCCAGGTGTAGTGGCAGGCACCTATAATCCCAGCTATCTGGGAGGCTGAGCCGGGAGAATCACTTGAAACTGACAGGGGAGGTTGCAACCAGCCGAGATAGCGCCAACTGCACTCCAGCCTGGGTAACACAGCAAGACTCAGAAAAAAAAGAATCCTACGTCCTTACTCTCTGACATTATGGATGGATGGGGTCACACAGCTTTGTTCTCATTACTAAGATTCTACATTCACAAGCAGTTTGTAGACCTAGAACCTAGACTTAGACTTACGGATGCTCCAACAACAGGTGAAAGCATGAATTGTGATGGCTTAAATGGATCCTAAGTGTATTACTGACTCAACTTTCTCAAAAACAAAAGCCTGTATTTAAACAAAACAGAAAAAAAAAAAAAGTTGTAATAGCATAAATCAGTGCCTGGCATACAGTCGATATTCAATAAATCTTTGCTGAATGCTGAATGTACAAATGTTGCTTAAGGTTTTGGGGGAAACTTATCATGAGATTAGGCCTAGTTTGGCGTAATCAATTTCTCCTAGTGAGCTTCCTGGGAAGTTAAGCATAAAAAGAACAAGGAAAAGTGAAAAATAAAAACACATACTATTTGCAAGAGATCCCAATAGTGGCCTCTCTGGTAAGCTGAACTCGAGCCCTTGTTGTAGGCTCCAGCTCGCCATGTTCACTACACCTCTGAGTCCTAGTTTTCCTACAGGCTGATTGCAGAGCCTGAAGAGATGAGTTCTGCAGAGCTCGGAAAGCTAGTCCTACAAAAAGAGACAGAGAAAACAAGACAGCTGGGCCTACATTTTTGACACAGTGACCCTGCCAGACAAATGGCACAGCTTAAACGGCACCCTTCAGCTCAACAATCAGATTTGCAACTCCTTCTTTCTGGGACCTGAGAGTTCTGGGGATAACAGTGGTCTCCACAGGGAGAAAACTAAAATAGAAATCAAGAATAGGTAGTCACAATCTGTAACATCATCTGTGCTGAAGTCTTCAACACATTTGAAGACTTCAAGAATAAAAATGAATGCAATTTTGAAAACGGGAGTGCATACGGTAATTACCATTACTAAGCATAAACCCTGCAGATTAAGCTTTATGCAACCCATTTTAAATTTAATCAAATTGAGCTTCACGGTAATGAAGCCATTTGCTGGAGGCCCACCCATAACCAAGTGGAGGAGAAGACATTTGAGCCCAAGACTGTGTTCCTTCTTCTCTGCTGTACCGCACGTGGGCACACTTCTGTGAACTGAAGTAATAGCAGAACACTTTCAGTATTGTGAAAGCACTAATGGAATTTCCCTAATAAGAAATTGCTTGTTGATTACATTATGCATTATCCATTACTATTGTGAATATGAATTATATTAATTATACTTATGAAAACATAAATAATTAATAGAGGATACAGCAAGAAGCAAGCATTCATAATTTAAGAATTCCTCCAGGCCTATGGAAAGAAAAGTAACTGTGCTTGGCTTCTGGTCTCATTTCTCAGTTTGCCAACCCTGAACTTTGTAGAGATGTCTTCAGTTTACAATTGATATAAATCCATAAAATTGGGCTTATTAACTTCTTTCCCAAAATGGTTCACCTTTGAAGTCTCTGTTTCTGTGTTGTCACTCCACTCTCCCAATGAACCAAGCAGCCGTAGAACCCTTATCATGGTTCTCCTTTCCACTGATACTCAGTTGTCTAAACCCACCGACCCTCATGTGGCAAAGATTTACTTCTGGGTCCCGTACATTTGTTCTCTACTACTTTCCTTCTGCTTCAGCTCTAGTTCACAAACTCTTGTGACTTCTTGCGTTAGTATGAATGTTTTCTGCTGCATATATCGTCAAACCTCAATTCACGTTGACATAGACAATAAGAATATTAATTATCCTGTATAACAAGATATCTGAAGGGAAGGCAGTTTTAGGTTTGTTTAAATCATCAAGGAATCAGGTTCCTTGAATTTTGGCTTGGTCCACAGACCAGCTCCTCTTACCATAGCAAAATGGTGGCATGGTAGTTCTAAGTGTCACATGGAGACAACTTCCAG